TTTTTAATGTCGCGACATTGAAGCGATGCTGAAGCCATAACAATGCCATAATGATGCAATGCTGAAGCGAAGGTGAAGCTGAAGTGAAGCCAAAGCTTCCGCGAGAACTGTACTGTATAGATACTACATGTAGACCTTCCTCAGATTTGTTCATTTCGTGATGATATCTTCAATTCTCTAATTTTAGTGAATATTTTTGGTAGAAAGTGATATTTTCGACTTCTTGTTAAAAACTGTAAGTCCTGATTGCTTTGATACTATACATATTGTTCATTTTCTAATGATGTCTTCAGTTCTTTAATTGAAATGTGCATTGCTAACAGCGGAGCTATCTCAGCCAATAGGCTGCTTGTTTAACATTATGCTGAAGAATTGTTTGTCATCCCAAGTTAATGCATCTACTTTCAAATAACAATAAAAATGTAATTAATATTTTCAATCCATAAATTTTCCCGAAGTGCAAAAGTTTTTACTGAAATTAGTCAAGACACTGTCAAAGGTGTTTCTAAATAGCTTACGCATTCAAGGGCTTTAAAATGCTAAGTCGAAAATTTTGAGAAATTATGTAAATAGAGTATTTGTAACCTTGAATGTCTTTAATTTTGACAACAGCAAATACTGTACAATACTTTATTTTAGCTGCAATTTATTTTCGCTGAAAATTCTTTTCGGGTGTTTTGTATGGGATTAATTTTCACTGTTTTTTTGACGAGTTGAATGTATAGGAAATATAGGAAAAAAAGGTATTTTTGCTGGATTTTATTTTCACTGAATCATCCCTTCAGCGAAAATAAATTCTAAGTGAAAATAAGTAGATTACAGTAGATTGCATTTCTTGAATGATTTTTCTTACTTGTCACAGGAGACAAACCCAGTTCAGGAATATGAACCAAAAGATTTAGTACATGCTATGATGCAGCAGTCAAATCGTTTAACGACAACAGTGAATGAACACATGAATTTATTGTCAAATACAGAGCAAAGTGATTCAGGTAAAATATTCTTACTATTAAGTATGTTAGTGAATTTGTGTGAAAA